CCAGGCTTGAGGGATTCTGCTGGTGTGCCTGTTGCCAAAAGCTTAGTCCTTGTCCCCAATGCCAACCCAGTAACGAGGGCATGGGTTTGAGAAAAAGAACCTTTATTGCTTTGCTAGCAAGGGAGAAACACGGGGCACTCCTGTCCCCAAGGCTGTGATTTTGCCCATCCACTAGGACACGGGGCCTTACAGAGGTGATTCAGAGAAAATGAGATTAGGGAGGAGAGATCAGAGAGGAGATCAGGAAGGGGAAGTGTAGGGAAAAGAAGATGGGAAAAAGAAAAAAAAAAAAAACATGGTAAGTTCAAAGCCACAAGGGATATAGTAAAGCGTCACGTGAACCCTGTTACATGCCCAGACCAAACACAGGGGCATCTTCCAAGGAGATTTTAAAGCCCAAGAGAGGACAGTGGAGTTATTTTCCAAGCAAGGACATGCCTAATGTCACAGCAATATTTAATACAGCATGAAATCTGGGCACTGTGGGGCATGTCTGTGACCCGACTTGGGAGGCTGAGGCAGGAGGAATGCAAGTTGAAGGCCAGCCTGGACAATTGAGGGAGACCCTGTCTCAAACAAGAAATAAAAAGGGCTGGGGATGTAGCCCAGTGCAGAGTGCCCTGGGTTCAATCCCCAGAACTGCAAAGCAAACATACCCAAACAGCACAGAAGCAGACCGACTAGCACACCAATTTGGTGTGTTTTGGATTTTAGTTTCAAAGCATTTCCGGCCAGCTTGTTAGTGCTAGTCCAAAAAGATTCCTCACATTCTGAAGTTGCTAAACAGTAACTTGTTAGGGCATTAGTAACCAGTCTTGTCCAGGAACTCAGGTTAGCTTGGATAAACCCAGGAAGTTTGTGGCAGAGTCTGTGATGAGGAATGTTCTGGGTCAGTGATTCCAGAAATCCTGTGCCTGCGGGGTCCTGGGGGCTCCTTTTCACTAGGGAAAGACAAAGCTAGGTCTTCACTGAGGCTAAGCCTCCACTGAGCTCCCCTAAGAGGACCTTCCCTGGTGGGTGATTCTTTCAGAGAAGCTGGTGGCATGGACGCGTCATCTGATCCGCCCCCGCCCCGCCCCCAGGACAGTTCTGAGGGGTTCACGGACCCAGCAGGACCTGCTGTAACCACAGGTCTCTAAAATTCTGCTTGCAGGATGGCATGATTTTGACAGATGGCTTTCCTGTTAAGGCTCTTCACTGGGCCCCGATGAACACAGGTTCTAATTGAGGAACATGTGAGTTTGGCTCCCAGTGGAGTGTCTGCCCACCCAGGGGAAAGGCCGGCTGCGCGTCAGGACACGCTTTGCAGCGTCCCCCACCCGGAGCCACAATCTGTGCGCAGCCCAGGCCTGGGCTCCTGCTGCACAAAGAATTCGGGCCAGTCCTTTGCCTCAGTAAGATTTTGGAACAGAACCAGTCAAATGGTCTATGTTTTCAGAAGAATTTATCTTTAAAAGAAATGACCACATTAATTTTCCAGGAATGATTGATGATTCCCCATCAAAACCAACTGGGTTTTCCACACAATAACAGGCCTTTAGCTTTAAGGTATTGAAAGTTTAGAGTTTCTTTCTGGAAAACTCGTGTAGACCTGTAGAAGGTAAGAGGTAGTAAAACTATGGCAAAGATTTAGGAATGGGTCTTCTGAGGTCCGATTAGAGGGAGGAAAATTCCAGCGGGCACAGTGTTCGATACCGTCAATGACCTTCGTGTGCTCCTAGGACATACCAGAGGAAGCAGGTGAGGCAGCTGGCCCGAGCCCAGGGCAGGTGGCCTGAGCGTCAGGCCTCCCTGAAGCCGAATCTGGTTAACAAGTCATCCCTCCAGGGAATCAAACTCCTTTTGTTCTAACAGCGGAAACACAATCAAGTAGTTGAAGTAAAAATGACACAAGTTGAATTGAATGTCAGATAATGTGCACCAAAGTCGCAACTGTCCAAATCAGGAGTGTCAGCTAGGTTTACAAAAGCTTGGCAGAAGCCACCTGCTTGGGGGAACGCATCTCGGGAGGGTCAGTGTAGATGGACCTGCTCACACACAGTTCTCAGCCTTGACTGCACGGCCATCAAGGCCACCCATGGGGTCTGATGGATGGGCCTGGGCGCTGCCTGGTCATCTGTGTGAAAGGCACCCGAGGTGACTCTAGTGTGCGTACCTCCAGAGTTGGCACTGGTCTAGGAGGCCTGCAACCAACACCACGCCCATCAGCAAAACCCAGCCGCCATCCCTTCTCCTTTCTGGTAGAATTCTTTGTTCTTGAATCTCCCCTCCTGTAGGGTCCAGAAACTGACAGAAGACTCACACCAGGCCAGCTTGCGTCACGAGCGGGTTAGGGAAGGACCTCTCCACCTCAGCACTACTGACACCTGGGGTGGGCCACAGGGCTGGGGCTGGCCGAGGGCCCCGGTGTTGCCTCGCAGAGGCCCCAGCCGTCACACTGACTCATTTTCTGCTGCCCACAGCACAGCCCCTCAGTCTAGCCAAGGTGGAGAGACAAGAGGCTTGTTTTGTCTCAGGGGCCTGGAGTTTCAAGGTGGAGGGGCTGCACTTACTGGTGGCCCTCTCAGTGGCAGGGCAATACAGGGGGACAGGGAGCGCCAGCCTCTCCCTCCCTCTTTGCAGAAGCACCAGGATACCATCACAGGGCACTGGGCAGGGGTGGTCTTCCTGACAGCTCTGCCTAATCCAGTTCCCCCGAAGGCCTCACCCACAGGCCACCTTCAGATTGTTCCCGTCCTCCTAACGGTGGGACTAAATGCCAGCGAGGCCGAGATGGCGCACACCGTGTTGAACCTCAGCAACCTCCAACTCCTACCTGGTGACAACCACAAAGGGGAACCACGGGGCACAGCCTGTCATGCAGGTCTTATTTGCCAGGGACGGTTTAGGCACTGGCCTCCCGCACAGGGTGTGGGTGGAAACACCCCCAAGGAAATAGTTTTTCACTCTGAAAGGACAAAAGCAAGGGAGAAGCACATTCTTTATCTGCAGGATGCACCGAGCTGGACACAGTCTGGGGTCCAGCTGCTCTCAGTGGGGCACCTTCCGAAGGACTTCTGCCATGGGCTACCACACACCCTTTCATGAGCAGGGGCTGTGCTTTCTGACTGGGCGAGAAAATGCTTCTCAAGCCCAAATGCTGACCTCGGGTTACTCCTGACTCTTGGGAAACAGCACTCTTCCTCCTTTTGGGGCAGGGGACATTTGCTAGGCTACTCCGAAAACCTGGTCAGAGGCCATGCCCCTCAGGCAGTAACTGCCACTACACAGCCAGCTGGTCTCCACAACACATCCGCGTGGTGGGTGGTGCCTTTTCACACAGCAGATACTCAGCTCTGGTCAGCGGGGCCTGCTGGAGAAGGCAGTCTCAGCAGCAGGGACAAGGGGAGCCATGTCTGAGGCGCTCCCGGGCTCCTCAGCTTCAGGACACCCTTATGCAGGGAAACCACCCTGACTTGCAGAAGCAATGCCTTTCCTGTTTCCAAAGTGCTTTGTCAGGTGGAAACTAACATCCAATCACAAGTCCTCTCCTGCGGCCAGTGACTTCAGTGCAACCATGCCCAGCTGAGTTCCTTCTTTTAAAATGTAGCTGGACGTAGTCATGAGGATTAGGGCAGAGTGTAAACAAAACATTTAGCACAGTACAGGGGCTTAAAATAAATGCTTTCAATAGGTGCTCTCAGTAATCATTATTGTTGACAGTTAATTTTCAGGGTTGGCTATGACAACACATTGCAGAATTCTTCAATTTTAATCTAATTAAAGTATGCAAAATACAATTAAAAAAGGACCATACTTAGCTAAGCAAGAATCCTTCAACTTGCAAACAGTGTACTTAAAAAAGTTTTTTTTCAAGTTGTTTGGAGGACACTAGGTTCCCATAGCAACAGTGCCTCTAGAGTGGGTAGGATTCCCAAGACTCAAAGGCAGATGGGCCTTCAGCTACCTGGAATATTGCATGCTTGTTCTGATAAGGTCAACACTGGGACTATTTTGCCAGTAATGAAAGTAGAGAAAACAAAATTGATAGGAAAATATGATCAAGACCTTAAAATTATGTGGCTGAAGGAGAGTTAATTAGGGGACAACCAAGGAAGCTGTTGGGGCTTCTGGGCTTGGGAGACAGGGCATTTGGCCAAGCATCAGGCTGGGTCCCATGGGTGTGGGCCTCCACACTGACCTGTACTTACCTGCCTCAGTGGCACCTTTGCTGCCTATAAATGAGCAAAGGATAGCTGGAGAATGGGAGGGCAGCAAAGACTTCCTGGGGAGGGAGTTGGAGGCGATAACTCAAGTTGGTAATGCCAGCAGCTCAGGAAGCTGAGGCAGGAGGATCACAAATTGAAGGCTAGCCTGGGCAACTTAGACTTTGTCCCAAAATAAAAAATAAAAAGGACCAGGGATGTGGCTCAGCAGAACACCCCTGAGCCAATCTCCAGCACTGCAAAAGAAAAATAAAGACTGGGGAAGGTCAGGGCGGATCCTGCAGATAGAAGCTCTGGTGAAGGTGCCCTGGAAGGGGTTTGGTTGAACGGAGGCCATGGGAGGGGGGTTTGGGGGGTGTATGACACCATGAGGAGGCGGTGTCCTCAGGAGAGTGCAGTGGTTTCTCTGGCCCACCTAGGTGGAGCTGTACTGTCCTGAGCACTCAGGGCACTGGTAGCTTAGCTGGCAGGTGAAGTTCTCGACTTCACACAGGTGTGATCTCAGAAGCGGGGAACCTTCCTTCTGTACTAGGGTGGAGGCCTCACCAGGTGATACGTTCACATGAGGCTAAGGATGTGGTCCCCCTCCTCCCCCCGTGGGAGAAGGGGCTGAGCACTAAATGGAAGCCAACGCTGTTGGGACGTTTAGTTGGCACCTCCCTGTCTATTTACACCATTCTAGTTGAACGAAATGCTAACCAGGTGCAGGGAGGAAAAGATCTTGGTGAAGTGACCTGGAAACCCGACAGTGAGAAAGCTTAAACCCATCACCAAATAAATGTTGACACAAGGAAGTTTCAATAGCAGGATTTCAGGCACCTTTATTTTTGGCCTCTGAAATATGTTACTTCAAAGAAGTCAACTCCTCCCTAAATCCGCACCATCCTCCAACAGCCAGCAGCCTGTCGTTTCTATTGCTCTCAAGAGCCCTGAACACACCCTGCACGCAGGCGGCAGCGGGCCCAGGGCCCAGTCGGGGCAGCACACACTCAGGTTACCCTGCAGAACCTGCTGCTGGCCCCTCCCAAGAGCTGCTGCAGCTGGATGACAATTCTGGTGGCTTTATTACAGAATCTGTTTTCCCCATATAATCTATAAATAAGACAAAATATTTCTTAATATTATATATTTGCAATACAAACAAGACTGGTGATATGGGAGATTTAAATCCTACTCTTTTCTGGGTTTGCTTTATGAAGACCATGGTCACTGCAGTTTTGAATGGCAAATGTTATTAACTCTGTCTTTTATAATCAGTAACAAAAATTATTACTCTGAAAGAATTTAGGTAAGAAATAGTTCAAAAACCTGAGCCTACTACCAGTCATTCATAATTTTCTAGCCAAGTGATTGGCACAGACTTAATATTCTTTCTTCTTTTTCTCTTTTTCAATCAGTAGCTCAAAGAAAGGATGGAATAATTGAGTTTAAAATCCTGCCCTTTTTTTTTTTTTTTATGGTAACCATTGTAGATGAACAACTAGAGGCCTACTGAAGTATTAGAATCTCATGCAAAACTCTAACGAATGCCTCATGACATCAGGCTATTCGAGTATTTCCTGTATTTAAAAATGCTAACGCAGTACAGTGGCAGTGGTTACTTTTCACTGACTTTAGCATCTGATCTCACAGACTAGTCATAAGTTGCGGTTCAATGGAGTTTTGGCAACAAAGTAGTGACAGACACTTCTGAATAAACAACTTCTAGCCATTTGGAAAGTATCGCCAACATATTATTTAGTGTTAGCACAACAGTCACTTTGTGCTGAAAATGAAAGAATCCAAACTCTACAAATGTTTTACTTCACCAAGTCCAACAATAATTGAAGGATTTACTACTTATCTAATAAAAAATTATACAGCAACTTTTATCAAACAGCAACTACTACAAAAGAATGGCAGGAAAAAAGGACTTCACAAAAATACACTAAAAAGTTTGACAATTTTATGCAGGAACTGCCAAAATTTTAGTGTTTAATAATTAAGAGCACAACTGACCAAGTTTCAAGATGTGAAGATACCATATTCCAGAAACTGGAGAGAAAAATCACTCTAAAAACTTATTATATGTGATAAGAATGCACTATAATATAAAACCTGTCTACACTTAGTAGTAGTTAGTTGCAAAAAGCCATTCAGTCTTCTCTTGGCTTGGAAAAATGGTGTTCCAGATTTCAGGGTAATTAGCAACCTGTTGAAGAAGGAAACATCATCAATACCGTTTTTCATCATATGAGGGTAAATAACAATAATGCACAGAATTGTTAGCTAAAAATATTCTGGTCATCCTTTATTGAATTATACTTTCTTTGTATAATATTCTAGCAAAAATAAATATTTAATTAGAGATCTTTATTTAAAAATTTCAGAATCCATCTCCTATTCCCATTCCTTTCTGTGTGTTATCCCTGTCATGTCACAATCTTCAATCCTGCAATTAAAAATTGTAATTTTCAATTCATGGGATTTCTGACTACCACATAAGATTTCCCAGAAGCTAAGGCTGGTAGGGCACTTTCCAAATTATCCCCAAGTAGGAATAATAACAACATAACACAAAGCAGTTATGTGATTTTCTTAAAGTGAATCAACTCAATTTGACCTCCCAAATCTTTTACTTCAGAAAAATTTGTTTCTTAGTTCCTGGAAATTTGGTCCAGGGCAAGACCAGAAAGTAAGAAGGGAACTAGGAAACTTTCACTGTATAATCTGCTTGGTACTCTCATCACATGATATTCTTGGTATCTTAATTTCTGTAGGGAATTAGATGCTACATATATGATAGGATAAAGTGAGTTTAAAAATTATTTTTGGAGCTAGGTGCAATGGCGCACACCTGTAATCCGTTACTCAGGAGGTTGAGAAAAGAGGATTGAAAATTTGAAGGCAGACTCAGCTACTTAGGCAGACCCTGTCTTAAAAAAATTAAAAGGACTCAGCCACAGAGTGCCCTTGGGTTCAAGTCTCAATATTAAAAATAAGTAAATAAATATATAAAAATTGGGGGGGGGTTAATGGGTTACCACCAACACTCACATATAAACACAGGCAAAGGCCTACAATGAACGAACTCACTGTACTGAATGATGAGAGTGCATCTGTCTTGCTACATGGGTATACAAATTTGTCTTTTATTAGACATCTAAAATGATTCTGTAGAAATTTAATCAAGTCAAGAATAAAGGCCTAATAATGTAGCCAGTTTAGCTCTTCTATGTCATATGTTCCCAAGAAGTCCTTAAAATGTAAGGCATTTAAGAAGGTGATAATGTGGGTGACTTATCACCTGCTTAAAAAACAAGTTAAACAAACAAAAATAAACCACATTTGTTATTACTGAACTGATAGAGTTTTCCCACAGTGAGCCCATGATATAGGTCTAATTGATAAAAAACAACACTGATATAGGTCTAACTGATAAAAAAACTAATAAAAACCGGTGACATAGGTCTCATTAACAAAAACTGGGAAAATAAATTCTATATAAGGAATTATTAGTTTGGCATGAAAATCTTCAAAATATGGAGTCTGTGGTAGAGGGGTGGTGCTGGGATCATGACTGGAAACTGATCTAGAGAAAATACTGACGATGTCAAGATCATAGTCACAGGTTATTTCTGTATTCTTTTAAAAAAAATTAATTAGTTGTGCCCTTCCTCACCTTCAACTCTTTTGTGTGGCAGGTATCTTGTTTTCTCCTTCCAGTTCTTCCACCCCAGCCTGTGTCATGAGGTCTGCGATGTTTTTCTCCAGATCATCAATGCGACTACTCATATCATCAAGTGGTGAAGTTAAGGATAAGGCAGGAAGCACACAAACATGTCTCATTCCTTACTCTCTTCCTCCGGGTCCCCTTGATTATGGTCTTAAACACAACCATTTTAAGGAAACTGGCTTCCCCAATGTCCTTTGGATACTGCTGTGGTCAGGTGGTCAGGAGTGCAGGAGTCAGGTCAAATTCCAGCCCCACCCTTAACTAGTCATGGGAAGTGGCAAGTTCTCGAAACTCTACTGACCCTCAGTTTCTTCATTCACTAATCAGAGTTGGCAATTTCATAGCCCATTCATAAGGTTATGGCTCACAGCCAACAACTGACCCTACTAGCAACTGTCACCAACGGACTGTCGTTTCCCTGAACCAGGAACTTGTGTAGCTCAGCTGCATCCCCAGGCCTCAGCAGTCCTTCTCGAGAACACGGTCCATCAAAACCCAGGGAAGGAATTTCTAAGTGACTGGCCGAAGCTGGCCTGTAAACCACCCACTGACCACCACTTCTGGCGGGTAGGCTCCCAAGGTCCCTAGGAGAATGCCCACAGAGAAAGAAGGATATTTCTTCCAATGATCTGGTCGGACATGGTCTGAAATTTATCTTGCATCTGCTGCAGGAGTGTCTGCACCTAAAAACCAAAGCGAACGAGCAAAATCCAACCCAGCCCGGGGCGGCTTGCTGGGAGGGCGGGAGCCCAGCCTCCCGGGTTCCAGCCCGGCTCGGCCTCCGCGGAGCGTCCCTCTCGGGCCCGGGTCCCCGCTCGGTCAGGTCCGACCCACAGGCCGGCTGGGCTCGCACG